GGGGGGGGGGTATAATAATGATGATGTTTGACTGCACCAAGTAGGCCACCAATATAAATCTTATAATAAAATGACAACATGAAAATGTAAATTTTTACTTTCCATCCCACACGCAGGTGCACTGCTTTTGTGGGTCAAATGGTCGTATTGTTTGCTGCAGACCACATATCTCCACTAAAGCTGTTGCAAATCAATTATGAGCATGAGCGTATTTTCAAGAAAATTTCAAACCTAATTGCAAAACATCAAATTACCCCCAGCACCGTAATTGAACCACAGCGCAGAAATTTATACACCATTAGGCTTAGAAATATATATTACATAATTCAAATAAAAACCAAATATTTCAAAAACTATATATGCAATGAATATAATGTCAATCGCGTAAAACAAAAAAATGATCTAGAAAAGGGCAATATAATACCTTTTCATGCAACAGGAGGGAAAGTAATAGAGCCGGTGCCAGAACCTGGCTCCCCATAACATGTGTCACAGAGGTCAAAAATTAAACACTACTTAATTTCCGTTTAAATGCCATGAATATGTAGGTAATTGGTGTTATTTTCATAATCACGTAAATACAGCAGAAAAAAATATATTTTGTAAGTAATTTAGATGTTAGACGTTCACTTTGGGATTTTGACGTGCATTATAACTATGATGACAGAAAAACTGTACTAGTGAAAAAATTTGAACAACCCCATCTGTGTAAAGTTGGTATCTCTTCTACTTTTTACGCCAGTACCAAGCCTTTAAACAGGAAAAAGAAATTTCCCATCCGATTTTGTGATATTTGATGTAACATGTTATCATAGTTATGCACATCAGATAGCCTGACCAAAACAGTTCTTTTCCAACTTGTCTTTTGAAGCAAAACTGTTGAGATATCAATTTGTATTGTCTATATATTAATATTATGAGGACAGTTAGGCTTGAAAATTATATTAAATAAGAGTAAAAATTTCTTCAGTTCATAACTATGAAGACATTTTTTGTCTTCATAGTTATGAGCGTAAGAAGAGAAAGTCTGAACAATCTTAGGAAGTTATTCTTTTTTGAAAATATAAATAAAAACTTAAGTGGCAATACCATATTTGAAACCAGAAAAATTGACTCACCTATGCGTCTTTATACATGAACTGTGCCCTTCGGTTTTCCTGTAGAGCAAATTTGCTGATAACTTTTTCATTGAACTGTGGATCCTTTGTGATGATGTCCTTGTACACAGACAACACAGCCAATGCATTAAGTTTGTCTTGGGATGTTGCGTTTCTGGCAAACGATTTGATGCGTTTCAGAGTGCTGAATGATCTCTCTGGTTCTGCAGTATGGACAGGAGTTGCCAGTAAAATTTCTAAAACCTTTCCAACTTCTTGAAACTCGCCTGTCAATTCCGACTGGTTTAGGAATGTGAAGAGCTTGGTGACCGTGGAAGTGTGTTCAGACTGAAAACTTTCGTTTGAATACAGTACTTCTATCTCTGTCTCCAGAAAATGACGGTTGATGTCAGGGTAGTTTTGCACAATGGTATCTATTTTAGTAGATGGAATTGTTCTTAATTTCTTGAACTGTTTTGGATCAACAACTGAAAGAGCCAGGTGCAAATCAGACCGTTCTAACCAATCTGGCAACTGTGTCGTCAGTATATCACACACTTCACAGGCATCTTCGAATGGTGTGGTGATACGTCGTCTTTTCCCAACAGCCTCTTCCTTCTCCATGTTTAGTGAAAGGTTTCCTCTCACCCTCACAATGGCAGAAATAAAGTCAGATATAATGGCATTTTTCAGACCAATGCCTGTTGTCTGCCTGCTTTGGAACTGACGGAAGAGAGAGTCAGTGTGCACAAAAACATCTTTGAAAAAATTTAAGAAATAATTGAACTTTGCATCCTGCAGTGTTTTCGACAGTCCAAAGGCCTCCTGTTTGTTGAGATGGTCCCATTCAGAGAAAAGTTGAATATCTGACAAACAATCTAAAATTTGCTCTCTGTAAATAGCAATATTGTTTAGTACTCGAGAGCAAAAATCCCATCTGCTCTTAAAAGTACAAAGTAGGCTTCCGTTGCAAGCCTCTCGAAGAGCATCCATTCTCTTTGGAGATGAAGAAAAAAATGTTGAGAAAGCTGACAAATTTGCAAAAAATAAATTTACTTGTGGTATGTCTGTGGTAAGTTTTTGGAGAACAAGGTTAGTTTGATGAGAATAACAATGGATGTAATGAGCGAATGGGTAAGCTTCTCTAACAATTGTCTGAACACCAGTATCGCCACTCATAACAGTTGAACCGTCATAGGACTGTGCTATAAGTTTATTCTGTAGGTCATACGGAGCAAGCTCATCCAAAATTACTTGAGCAAGGCCAGAACCAGTTCTATCGTGAACCTCCACAAATTTGAAGAATCTTTCAACAGGAGCACAATTTTCCACATATCTTAGAATAATTGCAAACTGAGATTTACAGGTGACATCAGTTGTGTCATCAACTTCAACGGCCACATAACGAGCGGCATGCAATTTTTCTTTCATGTCCTCTATATAGACTTCATAAATGCAGTCGAGAATTTCATTCTGCATCATTGCCGAAGTATATTCGTTAACCGTAGAGGTTTCTAAATAACGGCGAAGTTGGTTGTCAAGTGTTGAGAGGAGTTTTAACAAGTCGAGAAAAATCCCCCTATTCAAAGAATTTTCACTTTCACCGTGGCTTTGTAGAGCAAGCTCGTGAGCTCCACAAAATTTGATTGCTTCAATGATTTTGTCCAAAATATTTCTGTTCTGAGTCACCATTTCATTATGCTTCTCAATGGAAAGACGATAGGCCGGGTCAATTAGCGTTGCAAAGTTAATGTTACCGAAAACACTCAAACGAGCTGTGCTGTTCAGATGTGAGGCAGACTTGCTGTGGTTGTTGGCTCTCTCGAGGAAGTTTTTCAAATTTGTAAATCCGTCTTTCCACCACTTTGAGTCTTGAAGAGTTGTATCCCCAAAAGTTAAACAATTGAAACAATAAAATGCATTGTTTTGTGTGTTTACTGTCAACCACCGGAATTTTTTGAACCATTCAGGGTTAAAACATCTCTTTTGCTTTCCATCAACAACGGAAAAGGTAAAGTTTGTTGGTTGATATGGTCCCAGTCTCTTGACAGTGAGCTTATCTTCATGGGACAGAGAACTAAAACCAGTTTCCAATAAATATTCAACACGATTCATTGTTGTATTGAAGGAAAAATATTACATTCCAATTTCAAACTAACTCAATTCACCCCATGACATTCAATGACCAAACAAGATACTTGGTCTTGAAGAGGCTTGTTCCATTGTTATTGTTATTGTTTGTCTGATCTCCACACACATGCTGAAAACTCAAAACTCAAGCTGGGTGCCGGTAGTGATTCCGTTCACTGCTAGCAACTCGCAAGTCCCACTTCCGTGAATCTATTAGCAATTCACTTCTGAGAAACCCCGAGATTCAAGGATTCCGAGCTGCGTCCAGAAGTTTCGTTCACAATGTATAGTCAGTCTATAAACTATAAACTCTCTGGTATAGATCAGAGACGTTCCGTCTTGGGTATAAACCTAGATGCGATTCAAAGTTCTTTCTAATCAACCTTTTCGCATTTTTATGTTTGCTTTACCCTGGACCCGCGATTTTGGGGTATTTTCTAAGAAATGAATCTTAAACGTTTGAATTTTCAGTCATAGACTGTGTATGCGTTGTCAAAGCTCAAATCTTTATCTAATAGTTGTTTAAGCTGTGACATTGACAAGATGAGGAGACCGAAGCCATAGTAGGCTATATCATACACAGCACAAGAGTCTGGTAAAGTATGGACCAAATTCCTTCATTCTGCTACACACCGTGGTTTTCAGAGCGGTCAGACCATTTCTGGCTCTTGTGCCGATTTTGGTTTTATGTGATCTTTACCTGAGAGTGATCTGTCAAAGAGATATAGGGAACCAGTCAGACTAACAAAAAAGAATTGAGAGAGAGAGAGAGAGAGAGAGAGAGAGAGAGAGAGAGAGAGAGAGAGAGAGAGAGAGAGAGAGAGAGAGAGACAGACAGACAGACAGACAGACAGACAGACAGACAGAGACAGAGATCAGAGACAGAGAGAGCATGTGTGTGTATATGTGCGTGAGTGTGCCCGTGCGTGTATGTGAGTGTGATATAAAGAAAGGACAGAAAGATTACTTATATTTATGAGGAAAAGGAAGAGCAGGAGAGGAACGGAGGGAGGGGTGAGGGAGGGAGATCGAGAGAGAGAGAGAGAGAGAGAGAGAGAGAGAGAGAGAGAGAGAGAGAGAGAGAGAGAGAGAGAGTGAGAATAAGAGTGAGAGGGGGGAGGGATAGAGAGAAAGAAAGAGTGAGAGAGGGAGTGAGAGGGAGAGAGATAGTGACAGAGAGAAAAAGAAAGAAAGAGAGAGAGAAAGAGAGAGGGAGAGAGAGAGAGAGAGAGAGAGAGAGAGAGAGAGAGAGAGAGAGAGAGAGAAAGAGAGAGAGAGGGGAGATATAACATTGCTAGAGAGCAGGAAAGGAGACAATTTTAGAGAAGAAAATTGGTACATTTAATTAAGCATGAATAAAGAAAGCACAAGATAAAGAGGAAGACCCATAAATATGACACTGAGGCACAACTTGCAGGCAAAAATGGGAAAGTATTGTGTATACGGTACTAATTGGGAATAACGAAGAAAAAATAAATATCATCCGAAGTAAATAATAATAACAATGAAAATGATGATGAAGAAACTACTTTCACTTTGAGTGAAGAGAACCCTATTGAAACACAATAATGGTCGTTTAGATTAGGGGAAAAATAAGACACATAGACAGCAAGAAATAAGAGAGGGAAAGATGAAAAGTAGGACCTGCTAGTGGCACTATCCAATCACTCACAATGAAAAGGGATCGAACATGAACACCTAGCCAATAACACAAACACATAAGAGGGGAACATAACCAGTTAGATAGATTCCACACAGTAAATTTATTAAATGTATTGTACGTTCAGCTTCCGGCACAAATGGAGCTCTTTGAACAGTTCTGACAAGTCCAATTTTGCACAAAGACAGGAAAATGGACATACCCAATACATATCATTTTTATACCTCTAATCATGCCTCTGTCACTGGTCATTAAAACTTTTCCTTCAAACAAATAAACTAAATGTTCAGAGGGGTCAAAATGAGGGGTCTGGGGAAATTCAAGACACGAATCCAAACGGGTCAACAACATGGGGTTGGAATAAAGGCAAAGTTCTGTAGTGTCACCAAGAGGGTTCAGAGTGAAGATAAGATAAGATAATATTTTATTGTCACAGAGGGAAATTTTTCGTGGCTGTACCCGACCATAAAAAACACATGAAGGTATACATGAAATTTAAATTATATATTACTATCATTAAAATTCAATATGAAAAGTAAAGCTGACAAAATGTACTTAACACATCAGATGCATCATTCAACCACATGCAGAAAGTTAATTACAAGACTTTTGGAGTTATATATATGTAGACTCGTAAAGCAATAAACCTTGATGTTTATTCTAACAGTAGTCTTATTCTTGATGGCAAGAAACTTCTTTTGTATCATTCTTTCTTTCTTTGCTTTTAGAGGTACATGTCTACCACTGCGTGATCTTACAATTTTTGTGGAAAGGTGGTGTGATGGGTCGTTTTATAATGGTTTTTTTTTGTCTTTCACCCTAAGTCAAGACATGAGTCCTGAGGGTCGACAACGTGGGGTAGGACTAAAGGTAAAGTTATTTAAGGTCACCAAGAGGGGTCGGAGCTAAGTCAAGACATGAGTTCTGAGGGTCAACAATGTGGGGTAGGACTGAAAGCGAAAATAATGTGGGTCCTGAGGGTCAATTACATGATGGGGTCGGACTAGAGGTAAAAAAACAAACGTGGGGTCAGATTGAAGAAAAAAACAAATGTGGGATCGGAGTAAAGGTAGAGTTGTTTAGGGTCACCAAGAGGGATCATATCTAGGTAAAGACATGGGTCTTGAGGGTCAATAACATGGGGTCGGACTAAGGTGAAAACAAACATGGGGTCAGACTAGACCTCAAGACATGAGTCCTGAGGGTTAACAGCATGGGGTCGCACTAAAGGTAAAAACAAATGTGGGGTTTGACTAAATGTAAAGTTCTTTAGGGTCACCGAGAGGGATTGGAGATAGGTCAAGACATGATTCCTGAGGGTCAATAACGTGGGGTCGTACAAAAAGTAAAAACAAATGTTGGATCGTACTAAAGGTAAAGTTCTCTAGGGTCACCAAGACATGAGTCCTGAGGGTCAACAACGTGGGTTCAGACAAAGGGTGAAAACAAAGTGGGTTGGACTAAAGGTCAAAATTAAAGTCCTGAGGATCAACAACGTGGGGAAGGACTAAAACTAAAAGTTATTTAAGGTCACCAGGAGGGGTCAAAGCTGAGTCCAGAGGATTAACAATGTGGGGTAGGACTAAAGGTGAAGACATGAGTCTCGATGGTCAATTACGTGAGGTCGGAGTAAAGGTAAAAACAAACTTGGGGTCAGACAAAAGGTCAAGACATGAATCCTGAGGGTCAACGTGGGATCCGACTAAAGGTTAAGTTCTTTAGGGTCACCAAAGAGGTATCAGAGCTACGTTAAGACATGAGTCGTGAGGGTCAATAACGTGGGGTCGGACTAAAGGTAAAAACAACCATAGGTCAAGATATGAATCCTGAATGTTAACAATGTGGGGATGGACTGGAGGTAAAAACAAAGATGGGATTGGACTAAAGGTAAAGTTCTCTAGGGTCACCGAGATGGATCGCAGCTCAGTAAAGACAAAGAGTCCAGAGGGTCAACAACGTGGGGTCGGACTAAAGGAAAAAACAACATCGGTCGGACTAAAGGATATGTTTAGTAGGTTAACAAAGAACAGTCGGAGCAAAGTCAAGACACGAGTCCTGAGGGTCAATCAGGTGGGGTTGGACTAAAAGTAAAAACGAATGTCGGATCGGACTAAAGGTAAAGTTCTGTAGGGTCACCAAGAGGGATCGGAGCTAGATCAAGACATGATTCCTGAGGGTCAAAAACGTGGGGTCGGACTAAGGGTCAAGACATGAGTCCTGAGGGTTAAAAACGTGGGGTCGGACTAAGGGTCAAGACGCGAGTCCTGAGGGTCAATAACGTGGGGTCGGACTGAAGGTAAAGTTCTTTAGGGTCACCAAGTGGGATCGGAGCTAGATCAAGACATGGGTCCTGAGGGTCAAAAAGGTGGGGTTGTACAAAAGGTGAAAACAAAGTGGGTCGGACTAAAGGTCAAAACAAGTCCTGAGAATTAACAACGTGGGGTCGGACTAAAGCAAAAAACAAATGTGGGTCGAACAAAAGGATATGTTCTGTAGGTTCACCAAGAAGATTTGGAGCTAAGTCAAGACATGAGTCCTGAGGGTCAATAACGTGGGGTCGGACTAAAGGTCAAGACACGAGTCCTGAAGGTCAATTACGTGGGGTCGGACTTAAGGTTAAAAACAAACGTGAGGATGGACTGAAGGTAAAAGCAAATGTAGGGTCAGATTGAAGTCAAAATAAATGTGGGATTGGACATAAGATAAAGTTCTTTAGGGTCACCAAGAGGAATCGGGGCTAGGTCAAGACATGAGTCCTGAGGCTCAATAACGTGGGGTCAGACTGAAAGTAAAAGTGAAAACAATGCGGGTCGGACAAAATGTCAAGACATGAATCCTCAATGTCAACAACGTGGGGTCAGACTAAAGGTCAAGACTGAGTCCTGAGGGTCAACAACGTGGGGTTGGACTAAAGGCAAAAAACTAAATGTGCTGTCGGAATGAAAGTAAAAACAAACAAGGGATCGGAGCTAGGTCAAGACATGAGTCCTGAGGGTCAACAACTTGGGGTCGGACTAAAGGTAAAAACAAACATGGGGTCAGACTAAAGGTCAATATATGAATCCTGAATGTCAACAATGTGGAGTCGGACTAAAGGTCAAGACGTGAGTCCTGAGGGTCAACAACGTGGGGTCGGACTGAAGATAAAAACACATGTCCAATCGTACTAAAGGTAAAGTTCTATAGGGTCACCAAGACACGAGTCCTGAGGGTCAACAACGTGGGGTTGGACAAAAGGTAAAAACAAAGGGGGTCAGACTGAAAATAAAAAACGTGGGATCGGACTGAAGGTCAAGGCCTGAGACCTGAGGCTCAACAACGTGGGGTCAGACTAAAGGTGAGTTCTGAGGGTCAATAACGTGGGATCGGACTAGAGGTTAAGACGTGAGTCCTGAGGGTCAACAATGTGGGGTCAGACTAAAGTTGAGTCCTGAGGATCAACAACGTGGGGTTTGACTGAAGGTAAAAACAAATGTCGGATCGTACTAAAGATAAAGTTCTATAGGGTCACCAAGACATGAGTCCTGAGGGTCAACAACGTGGGGTCGGACAAAAGGTAAAAACAAATGTGGGGTCGGACTAAAGGCTAAGTTTTTTTTGGTCACCAATAGGGGTTGGAGCTAGGTCAAGACACGAGTCCTGAGGGTCAACAACATGGAGTCGGATAAAAAAAGTGAAAACAAAGTAGGTCAGACTAAAGGTCAACACCTGAGTCCTGAGAGTCAACAACGTGGGGTCGGACTGAATGTAATATCAACATGGTTCAGAGTAAAGGTAAAGTTCTAAATTTACACCAGCAAGGGGTTGGAGAAAGACAGGTCATGAGTCCTGAGGGTCAACAACATAGGTCGGACCAAAAGTAAAGGTCTAAATGATCAACAATGATGGGTTGTAGTTATGTCAATATGCCCCACTAAAAGGTCACCAAAGAGGGGTCAGAGCTAAGTCAAGGTGCCCAAAAAGGTCAGTAACATGGGGTCAAGTAAAGTTCTAGCAATCCATTAAACAAAATTGTTTGCAACAATAAAAAGACTTTCAATTTGTTGAATCAGTGGACTACAAACACAACTACAAACTTCTGGTCAAGAAAATACTGGTGCTATCAGAACGTCTACCACAGAAGGTCAAAGGCCAAACTAACAACAGGCAGTGCTTGTTTATTTGTTTATGATCAAGTGAGTAAACATTTATTCACAGCACGAACAAACTGCAAGGAACATTTCAGAATACAAAATCCACTCCAACAATCTCACACTCAAACTTACAACCAGCAGGCAGCTCTTCCCAACTGACTGACCAGAAAAATGGCTTGACCTTCTGATGTCACCAAAGTTTGTACTGAAAGTAAGGAACAAGATGTCTTATCATTTTAAATAAGTGACCTTGTATCTAAGTGGCTTCATTACAAAGTCTCCAGCTGAACCTCATACAAGGAACATTATTTTCTTGAATCTTTACTAGTTTTTTCAGCACTACCAACATAGTTTCACATAAGAGAGGTAAAACTGTCTAGGTAGGCCCTATCTAGCTGTTAAAGTTGTCCGGGGAAGTTATCTGGAGGTGTTGACGAGTCCATTCAAGAGTAGCTGTCTGCTGGCGGGACTCTAGAAGTTTGGCAATTGTCTGTTAGTTCTTGACTGACTGATTGGAAAATTGATTGTCACAGTGCAGTCGACACAATTTGATCATGCTAGCACAGCACTCTCATTTGACTGGAAGTCATGTGCAGAAGGGTGATGCAACCATCCAGGGTGAGTGGAAGGCCCTACCTTTTACAACAGGGTATCTGCTTCTTGGGGGGCTGTCAACTGTTGGCTTGGCAGCTTTTTAAGGAGGAAAAAAGTGAATTTGAGCTAATAAATTTGAGTAATGACAACATAGTTGCAATAGTGGTCACTTAGCCCACATTATAAAATAAAACTACAAAGAAAAAGAAAAAAAAGAAAGAACTGACATTGGCACCCTCAACCCACCCAAAATAAGATATAGTGGTAGTTTTTGAATGTGTATTGTCTTATGGTCCTACTGAGACAATTTGGTAATTTAAGTGCCATATACATATCTTCCGAATAACTGCCTTTGTTCGTATTGATTAAAAGGGCACAAGGACATTTATAAAAGTCTGTTAGTAAAATTTATACTTTTCATCATTTTCCCTTTCCATCTAAAAGCAAAAATAAAACTTACATCGTCCGACCCCCCAATAGATATTTTTAAAATTTTACAATAATAGCGTTCCAAGAAAAATTACTTCAAAGACATACCTCCAGTTGACGGTCCGGCCATGGGGTTTTCCTCCACTCCAGCTGAAGGGTCCAGGTGATGAAAATCCATTTCGATACAGTTCTGTACCAGAAAACCTCAAGGAACAATCCAGTATACCTGCCACTCCAACAACCTCACACCCAAACTCAAGATCAGCAGGAAGCTCTACCCACATCATTCTACCCCTGCCACCCTTCCCGTCCTACCTCCCACCCCCCTAAAAAAACAACCAACCTACACTGCCACCTCAACTACCTCCCGCCATGGCCATGGCACCACCTACAAAATTCTACTCTCACTCTAACCTATCCACCTAGCTCCCTATCAAGCTATTTGCCTATCTCTAAAGCCCCACTGCGTCACTTTAAGCCTGAGTGTGAGAGACGGAAATTGGAGGAGCAGACCACCTGCTGTTGGCTTCTCATGTGGGTGCCGGCTTTCTGAGAAAATAAATTACAAGTTATTATACTTTGAGTTCAAGTAACGAGAAGTCCATCAATGCAATAATGACTATTAAAAGTAGGAACAAAATAAGACAAGACAGGCATAAACAACAGGGAAAAGGAAAAGAGAAGGCCCAGCCACTGGCACCCTCAAACATCGACAATGACAAAGAGCAATATATTGTTCTTTTTAAAACTGAGTATGTATTCTATATTGCTATAGAGACAATTTGTTAACGTAATTACCACACACAGATTTTTCTAACATTTTATTGAGCTAAAGAGCAAATAACCTTACAAGACACATTACTTCACAGACAAATACCTCCTGTTGATGGTCCGGCCGTGGTATCCTTGACGTCGTCATCCAGGTCATCTTCGGCTCCAGCAGAGGGGTCCTGGTGATAAATACATGTGTCAATTAAGAATAACCTCTTTCATCAATAAAGCTTTTTTTTTGTTTTATCAAATAAACAGAACCATTAAAAAATTGTTTACGGTTGGTTTAAAGAAACTGAAGATCATTTTAAAAAATCTGTCGCTAAATACATTTTATCATTTCCGGTTTTATGAGAATTTAAAAACAAAACTTACCTTACATTGAACTCAGTCCCATTTGTATTTTTCTAATATTTTTTGAGCTAATGTAAATTATTCCAAGACATTAGTTCACAGACAAATACCTCCTGTTGTTGGTCCGGCCGTGGTATCCTTGGCGTCGTCGTCCAGGTCATCCTCCACTCCAGCGGAGGGGTCCTGGTGATGAAGACAAGTGTCAATCAAGAATATCTTCTTTCGTCAATTATGTTAATTTTTTTGTTTCATCAGATAAAGTCTTGTTTTAAAATTGTTTACAGTTGAATTAAAAGGACAAAAGGTCATTTACAAAAAATCTAAATAAATTATTTCATTTTCCATTTTTTTCTGAATGAAAAAAATATAACTTTTACATTCAACTCAGTCCCATAGATAGGTATTCTAATTTCATTGAACTAATGAACAAATAATCTTCCAAGACACATTACTTCACAGACAAATACCTCCAGTTGATGGTCCGGCCGTGGTATCCTTGGCGTCGTCGTCCAGTTCATCCTCCACTCCAGCGGAGGGGTCCTGGTGATGAAGACAAGTGTCAATAAAGAATATATTCTTTCGTCAATTATGTTAATTTTTTGTTTCATCAGATAAAGTGTTGTTTTAAAATTGTTTACAGTTGAATTAAAAGGACAAAAGGTCATTTACAAAAAATCTGTAAATAAATTTTTTCATTTTCCATTTTTTTCTGAATGAAAAAAATATAACTTTTACATTCAACTCAGTCCCATAGATAGGTATTCTAATTTCATTGAACTAATGAACAAATAATCTTCCAAGACACATTACTTCACAGACAAATACCTCCAGTTGATGGTCCGGCCGTGGTATCCTTGGCGTCGTCGTCCAGTTCATCCTCCGCTCCAGCGGAGGGGTCCTGGTGATGAAGACGTGTAAATTAGGAATACCCTCATTCATCAATAAAGGTGTTTTTTTTTAATAAAAAAAAAAAGAGCCATTATAAAATTGTTTACGTTTGGTTTAAAAGGACAAAAGGTCGATTAATTTAAAATCTGCCAGTAAATATATTTTATCATTTTCCAATTTTATCTGAATGAAAAAAATATAACTTTTACATTTAACTCAGTCCAATAGATAGGTATTCTTCTAATTTCATTGAACTAATAAACAAATAATCTTCCAAGACATATTACTTCACAGACAAATACCTCCTGTTGATGGTCCGGCCGTGGTATCCTTGGCGTCGTCCAGTTCATCCTCCACTCCGGCAGAGGGGTCCTCGTGATGAAGACATGTGTCAATTAAGAATAACCTCTTTCATCAATCATGTTAATTTTTTTGTTTCACCAAATAAACAGAACCGTTATAAAATTGTTTATGGTTGGTTTAAAAGGGCAGAAGGTCATTTATAAAAATCTGTAAATACATTATGTCATTTTCGGGTTTTATCTGAGTTAAAAAACAAAACTTACATTGAACTCAGTCTCAGAGGTACTTTTCTAATTTTATTGAGCTAGTGAATAAATGACATCATTTCAAGACATAACTTCACAGACAAATAGGCCTACCTCCTGTTGATGGTCCGGCCATGGTATCCATTGGTCGTTGTCATGGTCATCCTCCGCTCCAGCAGAGGGGTCCTGGTGATGAAGACATGTGTCAATTAGGACCAACCTCTTTCATCAATAAAGCTTTTCTTTTTGTTTCATCAAATAAACAAAACCATTATAAAATTGTTTATGGTTGGTTTGAAAGGACAGAAGGTCATTTACAAAAAATCTGTAAATAAATTTTATTATTTTCCGGTTTTATCTAAATGAAATAAATATAACTTTTACATTTAACTCAGTCCGTTAGATAAGTATTCTGCTAATTTCATGAACTAATAAACAAATAACCTTACAACACACATTATTTCACAGACAAATACCTCCTGCTGATTGTTTGGCCGTGGTATCCTTTGGTCGTTGTCCTGGTCATCCTCCGCTCCAGCAGAAGGGTCCTGGTGATGATGACAAATGTCAATTAGGAACATCATCTTTCATCCATAAAGCTTATTCTTTTGTTTCATTAAATAAACAGAACGGTTATAAAATTGTTTACGTTTGGTTTAAAAGGACAGGTCATTTATAAAAATATGTCACTAAATACATTTTATCATTTTGGGGTTTTATCTGAATTAAAAAACGAAACCTACATTGAACTCAGTCCCATAAGTATTTTTCTACTATTTTTGAGCTAATAAAAAAATAAAATTATTCCAAGACATTACTTCACAGACAAATACCTCCTGTTGATGGTCCAGCCGTGGTATTCTTGGCGTAGTCGTCCAGCTCATCCTCCGCTACAGCGGAGGGGTCCTGGTGATGAAAACGTGTAAATTAGGAATATCCTCATCCATCAATAAAGTTTTTTTTTGTTTCAGCAAAAAATAAAGAGCCGTTGTAAAATTGTTTACGTTTGGTTCAAAGGGACGAAGGGTCATTAATTAGAAATCTGACAGTAAATATATTTTTCCATTTTCCAATATTATCTGAATGAAAAAATTAGGAATAGCCTCCATCAATAAAGTTTATTCTTTTGTTTCACAAAAAAAAGAGTGTTTATAAATGTGTTTACTGTTGGTTTAAAAGAACAGAAGGTCGTTTATAAAAACGTATAAGTATAAATACATTTTATAATTTTCGGGTTTTATCTGAATTAAAAAACAAAACTTACATTTAACTCAGTCCCATTTGTATTTGTCAAATTTTTTTGTAGCTTATGAAAAAATAAATTTATTCCAAGAAAAATTACTTCACAGACAAATACCTCCTGTTGATGGTCCGGCCGTGGTATCCTTAGTCTCGTCGTCCAGGTCATCCTCCAGCAGAGGAGTCCTGGTGATGAAGATAAGTGTAAATTAGGAATATCTTCTTTCATCAATCATGTTGATTTTTTTTCTTTCATCACATAAAGAGTTGTTATAAAATTGTTTACAGTTGTTTTAAAAGGACAAAAGGTCATATATAAAAATCTGTAAATACATTTAATCACTTTCTGGTTTAATCTGAATTTAAAAAACAAAAACTTACATTAAACTCAGTCTCAGAGGTATTTTTCACATTTTATTGTGACAGTGAAGAAATAA